TCTTTCACGATGTATACCATGTTATATACAATATCAAATAAAGAAATGATGCTTACCTATGAGGGGAAACCCCCCCCCAAAAAAAAAAATTATCAATAAAAATCGATATTCCTTTGGTTCAGTATAAAATTTCAAGAACTTAAGAGCACAGATGATATTGTTTATAAAGTTATAAAGTATAATATTTTGCATGAACTTTCGATAAATAAAGTGACCCTGCATATGATACGAGAAAAGCACCTGATATTTAGCAAAATTTTTCGATACTCATTATTTAATAATGCCTCTTATCCTTGGGGATCAAAAAATATCGAACCATTTTCCTTAGATGGTTCATGCGTCGATGGTTGGATCTTTATAAATAACATTAATCTTAACGATGTCAAAAACTTATGATTTCACTGTGCCACAAAAGAGTGAAACACACTCTTAACTTGAGCGAGAGAGAAAAGGATCTTCGGGGCTCCGCACTCACGATTTTGGAGCAATAGTGATCCAATAGAAATTAAATCACAAGTCAAAAAAGAGCCTTACGTTGGTCTTAATATATTTCAAATCAAAGCATTTTTTTATTCGTCAATTGAATTAATAATAAACAATAATAAAAAATCCGAAGCCTTTCGAAACTCCGATGATTATATCAGATGTGATCTCATAATTTGTCGAAATTTTCAGTCTTTTAAGTAGAAAATATTAGTAGATAAGATTTAATGATATTGATTTCCAAGAACATTAGATTTGAATAATATAGTAGCGGGAAAGGAACTGCCATTCTCGCAAAGCGAGGGTCTAGGGGCCGGCAGGCGTTTTATGCTTTATTCCTCCCTTGAAACATCCTGCTTATATCATTTTTTTTAACTTAAACAATCTGTTTGATTATATCACTTAAACGTGGGAATAAAACCTAAATTTTTTTTTTATGAGAAAAAAAGAAAAAAAAAAAACTTTTTTTTTCTGTTCAATCTCGTTGATTGTTTCTTACTCGTGGTTTTTATCCATTTTCTCGAAAAATTTTTCGTCATGTATACGCTTTGCTTTATATTCCCAAAATACCATACCTAAGAAACAGTTTAAAAGGACGGTATTCTCTATGGTATCTTTTTTACAAAAAAGCTTTTCTTGAACTAATCAACATGTCTGTTGACTACTTACAAACAAAAATGCACAATTTTTTGATAAACGCCGAAGAACGCCATATAAATATAAATGCTACCTCCGTTGTTCATCAAGGCTTAGAAGAGAATCCCTGGATTCCACAAAACGAGTTGAGAGAAATCGTGAATCGAATAGTTAGTTATATTAGTAACTTATGCCCAAATGGGTTCACGTCAATTAAGGCTTTTTAAGATTTATTCGCAGGTTGGCTATATTTTTTTTTATAAAATTATTTTCATTATGATGATATTATGTGGTCTTCGTTAGTTTCACTCGCCGAAAAGTAGCTCGGCTATCCTATTAACCGCTCACGATAAAACACTTGCTCAACAATAGAGGGATATCAAAGCTATAGGCTGTTACGCAGTAATGTAGTTTATCCTACTAACCTATTGATGAGAAAAATTTATCGCCTGTATGGAGGATAGCGAGTATATCTTGTTGTGTAGAAATTTAGTATCACACAGAGTTTCATTGGCGTGACGGCCGCACAAAAATGAGAACTTTGCACATGTACTGATAATTATACAGTACATTTTTTTTAATGATGTTTTTTTATTACCGCTAAACTAATGTACATCTACTTTTAGTTTGAAGATGCATTTGAAGGAGTCTCGACATTGTATGATCTCGGTGTTGTCAAAACTAATAAAGAAAAGCCTCTTAACTCGGATCAAATAAAAAAAATATATGATCGAACTTAAAGGAAAACTAAAAAGAGATACGGGGCTCTTATATCAAAGCTTATTATCTGACTTAAATGCAATATCAATTACAAATCTATCATGGAAAGATCCTTTGGCCAGTCAGGTAATTAGCGATGAATCCGAATTTGTAAAAAAATTACCAGAGTTTAAAAAAAAGGATTTATGGTAATTAATTATGTATATTTTTGCTATGCTTTATTTACGTTATTAACTAAAAGGTATTATGACTAACGATAATTTGTAATAGAAACCTGTTCGTAAAATGATGCCTAAACCTATGCCAATGGTGTAGGAAATTTGTACTAGATTTCAATGGGTATCAAATCAAGATGAACCTGGCTAAATTCATACACGATGGGATTTGGAAAGAATCTAATGAAGATATCAGACGTGTGGTTAAAGAAATTCTTGATGTTCTGCAAGATATTTGAAATAATCCAGCATTTAGTTCCGAACTTGCAAAAACATTAAATGAAGGGACTTACCAATCAATCGTTATAGTATCTGTCATTCGCACAACATTAAAAAATCTTCCTATTGGAGACTCCTTTTTTATTAGTACATCGGAGAAGCAAAGTATTGCTAGCGCTAATAGAAAAGGAGTAGGTTGTATGGGGAGACGTTCAGATATTATGTTTGTAGTGAAATATCTAGGTACAGTTTTCGAACTTATATATCTAGAATGTTCTCGATTAATTTCCAGTCCACAAAAAAGGACGACGATAAAATTAAGTTATGGCGAGAGACTAATGATGGACTATATTGGATACGCCAAAGTCTTAAACCGGATAAAGATCAGTTTGGTATTGTAGGTATTCAAGTAGCAGGTAGCGTATTACACCTGAATCTTCTTGTGCGAGATATGGTTAATGTACACCGATATTACCATTTACGATCCACCCTTGAAATTGAATCCAAATAAAGTTAGTCTTTACTATGCATATCGTATCCCATATAGGTTAAGTCCCAAAGTCAGGCCAAAGCCTGACCCTCTGTCAAATATTTGAGCAAGATATTTCTGGCACCGTTCGTGTCCCGATCCATCTCCACTTCGCACGAA